ATATCTCCGTAAAGTTTAGGTTTACGCGATCTCAGAGAACAATGTTTAGCTGTACACAGCACGTAGTCTTTTTAAAAATATATCCAGATCTGACACTGGTTTTGGGTATTTATCACGTCTAAGCATGATTTAAATACATTATGATGCTGTGTCCTTTGAATGTCGTTTTAAAACTCAATCACTTTGTAAATGTCACTTGTAGTTTTAATATCACAGGAGAGTATTTTGAAGCTCAATATTTTTCAATACCATTAGCATGTTGCTTTTTTACCAATCAATTGACTGGCTTCTTTGTGCCACTACATAATGTGTGTAGTTAAATATAAGTTTACAAGCAAGACCGGCGGTTTCGAATCTTACCATTCTCATCAGTTGCTATGTGGTGGGATGGTTGTGGTGAACTCTGAACCATTCCGTATTGCTTGATTTAGTAAGCGTTTATATATCCACCCTGGTTTGTTTGGAGGATCGAAAATGGTGCGGTTTGATTGGTTCCTTGCAAAAAACCAATCAGGTTGCTGTAGGTTCGATCCGTGTTTTCTCAAAGCTAGGCGGTGTTTTTTATAAAGGTTTAAATTTGAAAAATAGGAGTCTTGCCTTGCTTTTTTGTAAAGTATATAAACATCTTGTTAAAATGTTTATGCTGTACAAGTGTTCCTCAAAATGGCGAGGAAATATGTTGTATATTTTCGTTTCAATTTAAAGCAAGGCTTGCGTTGACTATACAGTTGTGTACTGTACAGAATGTAGACAAGATTATTACTGGTTGAAGTATACGAAAGGGTAGGGAAATCTGTCATTTGGGTCTGTTAAAGGGCCCAAAGGGCTAACAGATGAATTTTATGGCTTTATAAAGTTTAGAAAACGTTCTATTTTTGTGATTAATTCCCAGTCAAATGACAGTACATTTACAGCAGTCAAAAGGAATGCAAAGTTCTAAAAGGTATATAAAAGGGTAAGGGGTTGGATCTTAGGACCTGTATAAAAATTTGTTGAGTACCCCTCCCCCTCTCCCGGGCCTAGGCTAACCTCCCTTCTTTATTTAAGTTATATTACATATATACTGGGCAAAGGCGCCTATTCTATACCACAAACTTTATTGAATCGGCATATCCTCCTTAGGTTTCCTCCGAGCTAGATTTAAAATCAGAGGAGCTCCTATGGAGTCGATGTTGTGCTCAGACTAAGATAAAAGTGTAAGTATTTTCTACGAAAGTATCAAAAATATTGAAAAAAAGATAAAGTCCTGAAATTTATGGTACACTGTCTACGAAAACGTACAAAGCAATAAAAGCCTTGCTAAATAAAAGAAAACTGTACTCTTTACGGAAGTTCTTACTGAGACTAACTTGCTGTATGGGTATCTCCTACCGGGTATACTCATACGTTTTTCCCTACTGGGGCATACAGCACTGGTTATTTAGGTCCCCAAGTTATTGTGACGTCCTCCCCTCCCATTATCTAGGTTAAGAAACCCTGATAACTGGGTACGTCTTTATTTATAAACGCAATCGAACAGACAAGTCTGAAAATAGCTGCATTGGACATTGAATTCAACATTAAGAGACTGTACGGGAAATTTTCTGTTAAGAAGCAGACATAATGAGTTCGATCTTATTTGTTAGGAAAAATAATAGACAAGATTTGTACATACTGTTAGACTGATAGTCTTATATTGAAATCTTCAATCACGCATAAAAGCAAACTGCACTGACATGCAAGAAATATAACAAAGATGCTATTTAAGTAATGGGAAGGTTTGTTGACAAGAATCTCAATGTTACGTCAGTAAAAACATATTCCTCTTTTTCCGCTGTGGCAGACATTCTAAAGGGAAGGGAAGGAATGGTTTTGGTGCGTGAGAAACACTTAAGGGCGCGCGAGAAAGGACAAAGGGGAATGCTTTCCTCTCCTCTCTTCTCTCTCGTGCGCGGTCTCGCGCCTAAATTCCCTTTCCTTTCCCTTTCGAACGCCTTTCACGCAGGCTAAAGATAATCAAGTTATCCTATAATCATATTCATCTTCCTAGCTTATTGATATAAATTTTACGAGGTGCGATTTTAATCCTTGAATTCTAATCTCTAATAGTCTTCCCTCGAAGCGGTTTGGCTACAAAGGGAATCGTGCCGTGTGATTTAATGAAAGCACGATTTAATTTTAAAAATCATTTTCACTTCCGGATTTAATTAAAGATTTTTCAGTCGAAAATATTTTAAATGCAAAGGTAGCCTGTGTACAGACGTCCCCCCTCCGTGTGTTTTCTGAGGGAGGGGGGACGTCTGTACACAGGCTAATGCAAAGGTTATCTCTTCAGCATAGGCCATCCCAATAAAATGTTTTGTTTCCCATCGCCCTGTCTCTTGTGATGGTGGGTCGGTCGGTCGGTCAAAAAAAAAAAAAGAATGAACACTTGAAGGACGGGGTCTAGGTTCCAGAGAATGCCGGAATGCTAAGTAAGAAAGCCTGGTTACAAAATCAAGTCGAAACGTGGCCTTTTCGACTATCAAATGTCTAAACAGCCTTTAAAAAACGTAGTATCGATGTTAATTAAACACAAGCACATCACATCATACCAATTAATGTTAATAACACAAGATCGTGTGCTCGTACTTGCTTCTCTGACTAGTTTCTTTGACTAAACTGTAGCTAATCTGGATTTTTTTTGTTTTACTTTTCGAAAAAAAATGGGTCGGTCGGGCGATGGGAAACGAAACATTTTATTGGGATGGCCATATTTGTTTTTCGCTGAGATGAAAGATTTTATCACGACCTTTACTTTGACTACATCTTTATAGGAAATGAACGACAATCTGATGGTATAAATGGTAAGCCAAGACTGAATTGGTTCCCCTGAAGCTGTAGTGATATATTTTGCATCCATAACATATCATCTACAAAAAGCATTGCCAATCAATCACTCAATCACAGCCATTTTGTCTCGTCACGCAACGAGAAGGAGCGGTACGTTACAAGACAAAACGGCTGCATGGTCCAGCACACCAATTCCCTACGAGCTCGATCAGCCGATTAATGTGTCGTCACGAAAGGTGCCTCCCACAAGGGAACTAAAGAAGCGCTGCCTGACAAAACAAAGAGCTGCTGCATAAAGGTGCATGAATAGGAGACTAACATGCTTGCATAATTATACAAAATTTTAATACTGTTATAAAAGATTTTACAGGAGCCTTGACTCCTGGAGTTTACTATTGACCATCTAATGCGACGGAAGTAACTACAAAGGGCTAAAAAGAAAATAACCAAAAACAATACTTTCGCACAATGCCCTTTACAGTCTATATTTGTAGAATGCTATTCTTAGGAAATTAAAACGGCGCCAGAGTTAAAGACTCCCCTTATTAGGACTGGGGCCTAGATACTTCTTCAATCATTATCCGGGACACTGAACCCCACCCAGTGTGAGCATCACCCAGGGTTACGCCACTACACTGTCCTACCCATAATTCCACTCTAACTGCGCCTTGTGGGATGTTTTCACAGTATCCCTCAAATGACCGATGATGCAGTAAATTAGGGCTCCCAGATGGCCAGTCGTTGTAAACAACAGCCTCAATCGTCATTGGTCCACTGCATTCATTTCCATTGAACTTGAAATACCATCGGTTACACTTATTACTACCTAGGACCCTCATATTTCCCTGGAATGAGACTCTGAGCGCTGAACTAGACTGCAGTTTGTTAAACGCACAGTCCTGGAATAAAAGCAAACAAATCAAACATATTGTAATAAGGCGAGCAACCGTGTGTAATGATTGATACTAACA